TGTAGGGAAGTATCCGAGATCAAAGTTTCCAAAGTCCAACTCATTTTTTTCCCATGGAAACCAACGCTTCCTCTATGGTCCCTATTTCTATCACTGCTGTCTGTCACCGGGTTTGTCACCGGGTTGGAAACCTCAGGGTCATCCACCTTCCTCTGCCTTAAAGCCAGTTTGTCAAGTCCTGACAATTGTGCTTCCTTCATATTTTGCTCATCTATATTTCCATTGCTATCACCATAACACTTTTTATTCAGACTGTTGTTTACTTTCTGGCTCCCATCCTCCTTGACTTCTCTACTCCCACAGCTTTGATTCACTAAATCTGAGATGACCACATTAGGCTGACAGTCAAGGTGAATTCCATGTCTATGAGACTGTAAACTCTCTGAGGGTGAAAAAAATGTCATAGCTATTTTTGAATTCCCTGTGTTCACCCATTCGTTCCTTCTTCCTTCCCTCCCACTATTCATTTATTCATGTATTCATTTCACAAATACTTATGTGCTTATGATGTGCCAGCATGGGCTAGGAAATAAAACAAGCCTGCTTTCTGCCCTCCCAGATTTGCTGTCTAGTGTATACCGTTAAGCAGAGTTGCTTAGACAAAGCTGTCACTCAATATAGGTGTGTTGATGGAATTAAATTGAGTTGAAATTAAAGTATATTTTGAAAATAGTTATAGTCTGAATCCCAATTAAGTTTCCTATTCTTTATGCAGCAGGGAAATCTACATTGACTGGCTGCTTTTCCTTTGAATCCATGAAGTGCATTTGATAAGAGTAGGACCACTTTGCCCGCTGAAGCTAGGCTGGTCCTCATGAGTCATTTAAATATCAGGATGAAACACTGACAGACATCACTTAATGGAAAAAAAAAATTATTTCTGATACTCATAAACAAGGCCTAGGTTAGTTTCAGATGTGTGCTTCAGGAAATTAAGGAAGCCCTCTTTCAAACATGAGTATGCGGTCAACCCACCAACATTACTCTTTTATTTTTAACTTTGCAAAAGTTGTATTGTTCTTTATATCAATGGCCTTGCTTACTTCCCTAGATTTGATCCTGCTTTCTAACTGACATATTTCTAACTGCACCACATTCTCCTGTTCGTTGTCTCAAGGGTCACCCCTGGAGAACATTCAGAGCACAGAGGCACTGAACCCACTTCTACAAACAGAAAATACTGAAAACAACCTTTGGGCTCAGCCTTTCATTTGCCTAATATCACTTTACTTGTCCTTAGACCACTGGGCCTTTTCCCAACTGCACAGATAACAGAGAGACACTCATTGTCCTTAGAAACAATTCATTTTCCATCTCACTCTCTAATAGTTCTCTTGTACTCCTTTTTCCAGACCTGAGAAACACTAAAACGTAGCAGCAATCTACATCTAGACATGCACAGGTGCAGTTATTTTGACCCTTTTATTTTATTTTGCAGTTATTTTTGCAGTTCATATTTTATTAAGGAGGAAAAAGCAAGTCCTGTAGTAATTAATTGAAAATACCTTCTTTGGCTGTGTCAGAGAATTATATAAGCACAGCACATCTGAGGGCAAGTCTCTCCAAGCCTCGGTGGCTGTGCACTATTCCCTGGAGCCTGTAGAGGGCAGCAGCACACCGGCGGACTCCAGGCAGCACGTCAGGCAAACTCCCCACCACACCAGAACCTTCCTTCTGGTCACCATGCCAAAGGTTGGTTTGCCAAGCTCTGGCCGGCCGCTTAGCCTCTTCCTTTCTTTTCTCCCTCTCTCTCCCTCTCCCTCTATCCCCCTCTCCCTCCCTCCCCCTCTCCCTCCCTCCCTCAATGTTAAAATTATACACTCTGATGAAGTCGCCCCTCAACCGGAAAATGAAAGCTCCAGTGAAAAATTAGGCGAGCCAACGACAACAAAGAAAGAAAATGGGAGAAAGGAGAAAGGGGGCTGGTGAGGGGGAAGGATTTAAGAACAAGAAAGGGGCAGATGTTTCGTAAGTACATGCAAAGCAAAACTGGGTGTACGCGAACACTTCCGCAGAGAAACAGACCAATCACTGTGTACTTCCTCCCGCCGCACGGGTGGAGCTCTGCATTCAAAAAAAGTGTGTCCGCAGGCACCTGCATTTCAACGGTCAGTTCTGACATTCTATCTCCCAATTGTCCAAAGAGAACAAAAACATTTTCATCTCCCCACTACAGACATTTCTGTTACGAGAAGGCTGCTTCAAGAACTGGGAAGGCGATTTAAGGTGACGGGAGGCTGAGTTAGCCAGCAGGACCTACTGGTTTTTAACTCTCATTGTGCTGGCCCTGGCAACAAGTTTTGGGCTGAAACATAGCAGTGAGTAAGGCTGTGGATGATGCTGGCTCTTTCCTTACTAAGACCGTATTTTCTGTGTCAAGAAATATACATGAAAACATACTGAGGAGATGGTAGGCATTAAGCATGTTAAACGCACGGAAATTAACTAGGTCGGTGGCATTTGATGTATAGATTTCACACTTCTTTGCACATATTGCACACATACAGTGATGGCAATGCTTTCGGCAACATATGGAAAATAAATATTTTATCTGTGTGAGCTCTCATCAGTCTCTGGGGGCTGCTGAGGGAAGAGTGTTCTCTTCTGTCCCCCTCTCCCAATTTTCTCTCTTCACTGGGCTCCCACCCTCTCCTGCACATTAACATGCCTTCCACTTATCAGCCTGGTTGGATGGAAAAGTATTAGTCAGAACCTCTTTTTGATAAATACTCAGTCACTGGATCATGACAATTTTGACCCATGACCTTGCTCATCAACTCCTTCCCCCACCCCAATCGTTTTGGCGTGGTAACTGTTTCTTTGCTCTCCTTCCCAATAATACATGCAAGAGGCTTAGTAGAGTGTTTGGGAAGAGGGGCAAAGGGGAGGTGGTAACAAACCACCCCAGTGGGGGTTGGTAGTAGAACTGAGCTCTGCCGCCAGTAGCTGTGCACCCTAGGCAGATTCCTCTGCTTCTCTGGGCCTCAGTTTCCTCATCTGTAAAATGGAAATAATAATACCTTCTAGGGCTGGTGTGAGGATTAAATGAGACACTTCCTGTCAAGTGATTGGCATAGCGCTGGCACACGGTCAGTACCCCATGAGGGTAGCTCTTTCACAGAGAGCATCAGTTCTGCGGTTTTCATCATTTCACCTAGAAGGAGGCACTTCCTTTATCTTTTTTAATATCTAGATTTGGGCAGGGGCAAATGGATTGTAATTGCAGCAAAGGCAGAAAGAATGCTAGGATAAGCAAACTCTTCAACACTTTGATTTTACCGTATCACCCCACTGACACCTTCTTTCTGTTCACGTGTTTGTCACTGCTGCTACTACACTATTAGCTCCTCTTGAAGTTGAGGGTCAAGCAAGCTACACTTGGCCTAGAGAAGCCCATCAAACCTGAGCACTATGGTCTATTCATTGAAACCAACCTTTGGCACTCTATCTTATCACGTCTTCTTACAATTTATCCTTTCACCGCTTGGTCTAATGTTCTCAGATCCATTTAAGATGTTTTCATGATTAAAATATTTTATTCTCTCAATTTTTCAACCTTCTTGGCAAGGTTGATTTAAAATGTTTTTCAGTATATTTCTCCCTCACTGTATCAGTCAGGATCTTGGCAAGAAACAGATGGCACACTCAGAGGTTTTAACTGAAAAGAGTTTAATGAAAGGACTCTCTACTGGGGTACAGAGGAGGTTGAGGGATCCTCAAGGGATGGTGATACACCAGGGACTAGCAATAGTGTGAGGTTGTTAATCTCAGCTTTAAACTGCTAAACCGAAGGAGCGAGGAAAGGGGTGGAGTTCCCTAAGTCTAGTCAGAACTGGAGTAAGGAAGGGGCTGGGCTCATAATACCCTGACCCCACTCTTCTCCCACTCTCAGGTCTCTTGCTGATGCCTCCTGTTGCCTAAATTCAAAGGGAAGCCAGAGGAGAAGGCAGCCTAGGTAACGTGGTCCAGAGAGGTCGGTCTCCTGGGACACGTATCAGGGCAGAGAAGGTTCTGGGGTTTTGTGTGTGTGTGTCAGGGGTGAGGGGGAGATGAATAAGCATACCTATTTTCCCCCTCTCCATTTTCTTTACCCTTTTCTTCTCAATTATACTTTCTGGAAGGACAGACACAGCAAATGAAATGAAATCAGTTCTCTCCTAGCGTCCATTTACCTGTTTTGTCTATTTGTAATTTATGGGGGAAGAAAACTGAACATAAGCTATGTGAGAGCAAGGATTTTTGGTTTGTTCTGTTCGGTGCCACACCCCTAGTGCCTAGAACAGTGCCTGGCACATAGTAAATGCCCAGTAAATTTTAGTTGGCTGAGTAAATATACTCATGTCTGCTGTGCCAGACGCTACATATACATTATCTCATTTAGTCATTGCAACAATCCAGGTAAGTAGGCAGGTTGCCGAGCCCAGTCGTGCAGGTGGTGTGGGAGTGGGTAGGCTTTAAAATCTAACACTCACTCTCTCCTTACCCACCTCCAGGCCTTGAGACTTAACCCAGGTATTGTGAATCCATAGGGAGGGATACGTTTGTAATTAGTCCACATTTTTATACCATATTCACCTTACTGAATGAAGGTTTGCACCTATCAAGTCTCTGTAAGTTTTATTATTTCTCTTTTACATATGAGGAAGCTGGGTTTCTGAAAAGCAAAGGCTGCAAGGATTAGAACTCAGTTTGTCCATTCTCTAGGACCTGCAAAACGTGAATGCAGGCACTGGTATTCTGCATAGGGGAAATATGTCCAAGGGCACAAACAGCCCGGCTCCCTTGTGGGCTTCCCGGAGATTTTTAGGAAATCTTAGCTCCTGATTTCTAGGTCTGGTTATGGGTTCTCTGCAGTACAGGAAGGTAGGAGTGGCAAAGACTCTCTTCCCTCCCAAAGGATAAACCAGGCTGAAACTTTGGAACCCGGCTGCATCCCGGTGTGCCTGTGATACCTGCACCGGCAATAGTTACTCTGTGATGAAGAAAAACTCAGAAAACTCTCCAGATGTGGGGATTTCTAACGCATTCTTTCGCTTGAACTTAAGGACAAATGAAGGTGCTTCCACAAGCAAGTTCCTTGCATGGGTATGGAATGAGGACACTCTATTTTTGACCTTTTTTCATGTCTTTAGTCCCCAGTCCCTCGAGCGCATTGGTACTGTAGATCAGCCTAATGGTTCCCACCTCCAACCTGGCCAGGCAGGCCTGCCTATTGCCTTCATATCCGTCACCACCAATTACAATTCAGGTGACTGACAGCATTTAAGGTAAAATGCAATGCAAAATAAAACAACACAAAACTCTGACTTCATCCCTTTGGGTTTGATTTATGCCAGAATAGTTAAAGACGTAGAAAATATGAATGTGAAAATCCTACCTGAAGCCTGAGAGGGGTGTTAGTCTCCCAGGTTTGGCGTTTTCCAGTAACAGAAATGTCTGTAAAAACACCATCCCGTTACCTGCCTCACACCATATAGGAAAATGTGTAAATATGACAACCAGAATGAGTTTTTGTTCTAAAATGTATAATTATTTTGCATGCATAGCCTCTAAGTAATTTAAATTTCTGGCTTTTCTAGTAAAAGAGAGCATATATTCATCTGTTACTTCTAGCAATGATCAATGGATACTTGATGTCACTCTTTCATCAGTATTTTTCTGTAGGCATCATAGCTCCTACCCCAACTTATTTCTGAAACTTGACTTGCAAGGGTTGTACTTCTCCTACGTAAATGTCTGATGTGGAGGGAACTAAATCAAGTACTCAGAGCTATGCATCCAGAGGGCAGAGCTGACCTCGGCACAATGGTTTGAGATGTGGCTGAAGAAGCCCGCAGCTGCAAGGGTGGGTGTTGGCCCCCTTGAATAACAAGGAGACCACAGCACGGGACACAGAGATGCAGCTACATCACAGGTGGACACAGGCACGGAAAGCTGGCTCTCGGATGTGTCCAGCGTGGCGCGAAATGACAAGCTGCAGTGAGATTCAACAGAATGGCAAAGAAGGGTGATGAGAAGCAAAGAGATAGGGCTGGAGCTGCCACCGCTTCAGGCAGAGGTGCAGATGACCAAGCAGAACAGCACCGGTCCCTGCAAGGTACGCTCAGATGCAGCTCAGCACAGCCACCCAGCGAGGCAGGCGTGATGCTACCCAGGGTGCGCACTGCAGGCTGGAAGCGGAGAACCAATGCAGGCACTTCAGGACTGAGTCTGGTTACCTTGCCGCATCCAAGAGATGAAGCCATCTAAAATTTCATCTGCTCTTACAATTGTGTGAGTTTTTTTAAAAAATTAAACAAAGTGAACTAAGAAGCCTTTCATTGGAGGCATAACGTACTCACAGTAGTTTTCAAATAAATGGTGTCACTCTTCAGGTAAATCACTCCAAGGCTTGGGCCTAGTGCAGATGTTCATTGGGGCAGGGAGCAGAGAGCGGCTGCATCTGGATCAGACAAGGAACAAACAAAGATAAGGCTGTTAAATGAAGAGGTGATGCTGATCGCTCATTCTATAGAGCCAGAACCGTGGGACATGGTTGAGAGTCGGGTCCTGCACTTTGCACCAGAGAACAGTGAGTCAGGGGAGGGAGATGGAGAGGGCGTTGTCCAGGCCCCGTTTTCAGTGTTTCCACCTGACTGCCTGTCTGCTGTGAAGCTGTTAACAGCACCCGCCAGTGTGGAGCTGACATTGTGATCCTGAGTTGGAGCTGAGGTGGAGGGTGAGGGTAGGGGAAGCCTGGCCACAGCGGGCTCTTCTTCCAGTGTTCATTCCACCGCAGTCTCTCTCTCATTGCTGCTCTGAGATTCTTGCCTATCTTAAAAACGCCCACTGACCTGGCCATGTTTCTGAGCTCTTGCCTTCTCTCCGCCCTTCACTACAGCCTCTGTTTTCTGCCATATCCTCTAACCCCGAGGAGTTCAGCCTCAGGGGCTACAGAATGGACCCCTGTCTGTCTCAGAGCCTCAGGCCCAGAGGTCTTTTCCCAGGACTTTCCCCTTTGGCCACACTGCACCCTGATGACCACTTTATTCCAGAAACTCTGCTCCCTTCTTATTGGGACGCTGCATCATCCTGACCTCCCGCTCTCAGTTCTCTTCTGCCTCTTCCACTGGCCTGCCTTCTCTCTCCTGTTTCCTAAATGCAGACAGGCCTCAAGATTCTCTCTCTCCTCAAGCTTTGCCTACACAGCCACCCTCCATGGCCTCAACAGTCACTTCTCCATAGAGAACACCCACATGGCTATCTTTAGTTCTCGCTTGTCTACAGAGCTCCAGACCTGCATTCTAAATAACTGCTGGTTATCGGTTCATTGATTCATTTGCTTGTTTGTTCATTCATTCATTGTTTACATAGACTCTATTAGGCACCCAGAAAAAATGAGTAAGATGGGGCCTCTAACTCTGAGAAGCTCACATCTCCATCATACACTGCACAGGCACTTCTAATTCAGAAAGTTTCCAGCAGAATTCATTGCCCTTCCCTCAAAATATGTTGCTTCTCCAGCCTTCCCATTTCCTGCTACTCGTACCATCTTTGTCCAGTTACTTGTGCCTACAATTGAGGAGTCTTCTTTAGTTCCTCCTTTTCTTTCATTCCCCATATCCAATCAGCTGCCAACTCCTGTGGTTCATACTCAGGCTGTGAATCGATACGCACTTTCTATCCCAACACCTATTTATCCTTTTATCACCTGTTGCCTAGACTTCTGTGAGTGCCTCCTAACCGGCTTCCCTTCCCTCAGACCCTCTTTACCTCTAGTCCATCCTTCACAACAACACTACATTTACTGTTCTAAAGTACCATTCTAAATACATTACTCCTTTGCTCTTTGCTTACCGGATTAAATGCAAACTTCTCAGCTTGGCATTCTAGGCTCCTACAATATAGCCCCAATCTAATTTCTTACTCTTTTTTTCTACAATGAATTCTACACTGCAGAAGTCCCACTTGTTCCCACCATGGTCATGGTCTTTCCTCCCCTTTCCCAATATCTACATAGAGCTTCTTTAGGGGTCATCCAAACACCACCTTGCTTATGAGACATTTTCCAAAGGAAAGTGCCCTTCTCAAATCCTTAATCACTTTTTGCACCACTCCCTTCCCACGTTCTATGGACTCTAATAATTATTTGTGTAATTTGTCTCCCCCCCCCCCCCCCCGCTTAAGCTTCTTGAAGGCAGAGGCCATTTTTACTTTGTGTACTTTTTACTTTGTACCCATAGTGTGCAATGCCTTGCACACAGGTTAGTGCTCAGCTGATGTCTGCTGATTCAGACCCCAAATAGCCAAAGCAATTTTGAGAAAGAAAAATGGAGCTGGAGGAATCAGGCTCCCTGACTTCAGACTATACTACAAAGCTATAGTCATCAAAACAGTATGGTAATGGTATAAAAATAGAAATATAGGTCAATAGAACAGGATAGAAAGCCCAGAAATAAACCCACATGCCTATGGTCAATTAATCTATGATAAAGGAGGCAAGACTGTACAATAGGGGAAAGACAGTCTCTTCAATAAATCGTGCTGGGAAAACTGGACAGCTACATGTAAAAAAGTGAAATTAGAACATTCTTCAATAACATACACAAAAATAAGCTCAAAATGGATTAAAGACCTAAATGTGAGACCGGACACTATAAAACTCTTAGAGGAAAACATAGGCAGAACATTCTCTGACATAAATCGCAGCAATATTTTTTTTTGATCCATCTCCCAGAGTAATGGAAATAAAAACAAAAATAAACAAATGGGACCTAATTAAACTCAAAAGCTTTCGCACAGCTGAGCTTTCGCACAGTAGATGAGCTTTAAGGTCTTTCCATAAACAAAATGAAAACACAACCCGCAGATTGGGAGAAAATATTTGCAAATGATGTGACTGACAAGGTATTAGTCCCCAAAATTTACAAACAGCTCATGAGACTTAATATCATTAAAACAAACAACCCAATCAAAAAATGGGCAGAAGACCTAAGCAGACATTTCTCCAAAGGAGACCTACAGATGGACCAGAGGCACCTGAAAAGGTGTTCAATATCACTAATTATTAGAGAAATGCAAATCAAAACTACAATGAGATATCACCTCGCACCAGTCAAAATGACTATCATCAAAAAATCCACAAACAATAAATTCTGGAGAGGGTGTGGAGCGAAGGGAACCCTCCTACACTGTTGCTGGGAATGTAAATTGGTACAGCCACTATAGAGAACAGTATGGAGGTTCCTTGAAAAACTAAAAATAGAGCTACCATATGATCTAGCAATCCCACTCCTGGGCATATATCCAGAGAAAAACATGGTCCGAAAGGATACAGTTCATTGCAGCACTGTTTACAATAGCCAAGACATGGAAGCAACCTAAATATCCATCAGCGGAGGAATGGATAAAGAAGATGTGGTACATATATACAATGGAATACTACTCAGCCATTAAAATGAATGAAATAATGTCATTTGCAGCAACACGGATGGACCTAGAGATTGTCATACTGAGTGAAGTAAGTCAGACAGAGAAAGAGAAATCTATGATATTGCTTGTATGTGGAATCTAAAAAGAAATGATACAAATAAACTTATTTACAAACTAGACTTAGAGAACTAACTTATGGTTACCAGGGGAGAAGGGTGGGGAGGGAGGGATAGTTAGGGAGTTTGGGATTGACATGTACACACTGCTATATTTAAAACAGATAACCAACAAGGACCTACTGTACAGCATAGGGAACTCTGCTCAACGTTATGTAACAACTTAAATGGGAAAAGAATTTGAAAAAGAATAGATACATGTATACGTATAACTCAATCACTTTCCTGTACACCCGAAACTTTCACAACATTGTTAATAAACTATACTCCAATATAAAGTAAAATGTTAAAAAGGTTCTAAAATAAAAAGTTTATTAAAGAAAATAAAAGCAATAAAGATGCTTGCTTGGAGGCATGGAAGCTGAGATTGAACTGGAAAGACCTTAAAGCTCATCTACTCCAACCCCTCTTTTTTCAGATGAGGACATCAAGGGAACTGACTTGCTCAAGGCCACATCCTTACTTGCAGCTGAGCAACCACAACCGATAGAAAAGGTCACTAATCTCTGAATATCTACCGGTGTTGCTTGGCACCAATAGACCCAGCAGACCATCAGCAGTGACCAGACCAAAGAGAGTGAGGGGTTGGGTGCATAGCCTGCAAGGATACACTGGGTTCCACAAAAAGAAAAACTTTGTTTCACTTATTCACTTCAATAAATCAAACTAATAAATGTCCTTTTATAGTTAACTGATGTTTAAAAAATGAGGGTGGATTTAAAGAACAAGGAAGCAAACTTTTTAGCATTACCAGCAGAAACAATTGTGACAATACTGCAAATACCACTGGGGTGATTCAACTCAGGGTGAAAAAGCAGAATGAAGAAATTTCTCATGCTTTGGAAAAGCAGTGGGTTCAGCTGAAGTTCTTGGTGAGAACATGCTGTGGTAATTCTATGGTTAAATTCATCTTATAGAAACATAGGCTATTGGCAATCTTGCTATTATGCCACACCAATAAATCTTTTTCCACTCTCTTTGCCCAGTATTTATCCTATAGGCTTGTTTAAATTTTTACTTATTTTCCTTTCATTACATCACCAATCTACTCGTAGAAAAGGATAGATGACTGCTCCCAGGTCTGTTCTAATTTTCGTCCCTTGTTCTTCTCTTGTGGTAGACAAAACATTAATTGTTTAATCTCCACTCTAGCCTCATTCTCAAACAGAATCATTTTCTTTCTCCTGAAGATGTAAAGCCCAACAAAACACGTTGTGGGGATAACAGTGTTTACCTAGGTGAGGAAAACAGACTTTTCCAGGGGATCTCAGTAGATTTTACTTGTCCAGAAAAGCTCAGCCCTTAAATGCTAGCCTCCGGCCCTACAAGACTTCACCTGTCTACCCCAGGTGAGAACCTTACTCACTGTTACTCACCAGAGGAGAAACGTAGTACTGGTCATTATATTCTCTTTGGCCAGTATGGTGGAGCCATGCTATGCATTGAGAGATCCATTAAACAGTAACACCCACGTAGACAGCAAATTGGGCTCAAGAGTTCCTCATAGTTGTTTGTTTGTTTTTTAATAAGCAGATATTCATTTTTAATTATTATTTACTTATTTATTTATTTATTTTTGGCTGTGTTGGGTCTTCGCTTCTGTGCGAGGGATTTCTCCAGTCACGGCAAGCGGGGGCCACTCTTCATCGCGGTGCACGGGCCTCTCACTGTCGTGGCCTCTCCCGTTGCGGAGCACGGGCTCCAGATGCGCAGGCTCAGTAGTTGTGGCTCACGGGCCCAGCTGCTCCGCGGCATGTGGGATCTTCCCAGACCAGGGCTCAAACCCGTGTCCCCTGCATCGGCAGGAGGACTCTCAACCACTGCGCCACCAGGGAAGCCCAAGAGTTCCTCATAG